ACCAAGTTATCGTACTGCGAGACACAAAGTTATCGTACTGCGAGACACAAAGTTATCATGCTGCGGACACAAGTTATCGTACTCCGAGACGCAAGTTATCGTACTGCAGAGACACAAAGTTATCGTACTGACCTGAAGTTATCGTACTACGAGACACAAAGGTTATCTGCTGCGAGACACCCAAGTTATCGTACTGCGAGACACAAAGTTATCGTACTGCGAGACACAAAGTTATCGTACTCCGAGACACCAAGTTATCGTACTGCGAGACACCAAGTTATCGTAGACACCAAGTTATCGTACTCTGAGACACCAAGTTATAGTACTCTGAGACACCAAGTTATCGTACTCCGAGACACCAAGTTATCGTACTGCGAGACACCAAGTTATCGTACTCTGAGACACCAAGTTATCGTACTCTGAGACACCAAGTTATCGTACTGCGAGACACAAAGTTATCGTACTGCGAGACACCAAGTTATCGTGCTGCGAGACACAAAGTTATCGTACTGCGAGACACCAAGTTATCGTACTCCGAGACACCAAGTTATCGTACTGCGAGACACAAAGTTATCGTACTGCGAGACACAAAGTTATCGTACTGCGAGACACAAAGTTATCGTACTCCAAGACATGAACTGACAACCAAATTCGTTTTAACTTTCCAATACCGAGTCCCGGGAAGAGCGGATCACTACACCAGCTGCCTCTGCCGCCCTTCCTCCAATACTTATTAATTCACCAATTTACGTCACTCTTGTCATTTATTTTTGTTGATTATTAGTAGAGTTTGTAAATTGAAAAAAAATAATAATAATGGTAAAAAAACAAACAGGAAAACAGGTTAGAGGTAAAGAATTTTATCAATGGTACACACACTAATAGTAACAACAACAACAAATACAACAGCACAGACAAAAACAGTAGTTATATAAAACAAACTTATAACAGTATATACACCGTTACCAACCACAGAAATCCGACACACACACACACACACACACACACACACACACACACACACACACACACACACACACACACACTCTTTCCAAAGGTACATTTTTCCCGCTTGGTGTCTCGCTGCTCGCACTGTATATTCCCCACCAGGGTCTGGATGCAAATGGAGCTCTGTTTTGCGCCCAAAGTTTGTGCCTGAACGCATGATTGGTCGGGGAGAATGAGGTGGTGTTTGGGTGGGCCCGGAAGGGGACGAAGCCGAGGCCTCACTTCACCAGCTGATGTGTGTGTGTGTGTGTGTCGTGTGTGTGTGTGAGTGTGTGCAGAGTGTGTGTGTGTGTGCTGTGTGTGTGTGTGTGTGGGGGGGGGGGGTCGGTTAAGTGAAGTCTGGATGGATTAACTGATGCCCGCGAGAGAAAATATCAGTAAGTTACGACTTTATTATGAAAATTTTAACGAGGAATATGTGATTGAAATACCCAACCATATTGTTTTTACACTAATGTTTAGCAATGAAGTGACAAGAGCTACTAAGAGAGTTGGACTGTTCTCACACGGTACTAATAGGCTTGTCTCTCCACCCACATACAGCTACAGTATGTGGTTGAGGTGGTTGTATTACTGTACTACACTGGTTATGTACACACACAGACACACACACACACACACACACACACACACACACACACACACACACACCTCCTCACATACACACACACGACACACACACACACACACACACACACTCCTCCTCACTCACTCCCTCACACACACACACACACACACACACACACAGACAGACACACACACACACACACAGAACCACACACACACACACAGACACACACACACACACACACACACACACACACACACACACACAGACACACACACACACACACACACACACACACACACACACACAGAAGCCAGACAATGTACAGTATAGGAAGCCTCACCTCTACACCCGAGTAGCCTACACTAAACATGTTTACCAACACACACCTTTGAGGCATGTACACTTATACCTCCCATGTACACTCATCAGCCACGTACACGAAGAACCAGTGTACATATAACCACTCATACATACAACCCCTGTGTACGCTTCATCCACGTACACGAAGAACTATTATATCTATGACAATTATGTACACATTGAACCGCTGTGCACAACCGTTATACACGCACATATAAAGCCACCTTTTAGTCATGTAAACCTAGAACCAGTATGTAAACCCTATATGTACACATGAGTAATTTGTGTATGTCTCAGTCATGTACAGAAAAATATTCATTGTATACAAGGACGCAATGAGTCACCCCTGAACACTACTGTACATCTTCCGTCGTCTACAGTGTACAATAAACTTAACCATTCTAGTATTACACAGAAAATAACATTACATTATGACAGGTGACCCAGGCAGCTCCACATATGGTCACCAGAGCTACCCAGATGCCGAAGCTTTGTGGCAGTGTGTCGCCATGTTTGTTATATTGTTCAACACCGGTGAAGGAATGTATGGTCATCTGACTGTACACACACGCACGCACGCACGCACACACACACACACACACACACACACACACACACACACACACACACACACACACACAAAATAAATCAGTGTATGCATCTCTCCCATTAATGTACACACGGGGCCAATGTGTGTGTGTGTGTCTGTGTGTGTTTACATTCCGGAAGCAAAGTACTATTAGATTGAAAGAAAGAGAGAGACAGAGAGAGAGAGAGAGAGAGAGAGAGAGAGAGAGAGAGAGGTAAGATAATAGGTGGTCTTGGCCATAAATGACTCAGGTAAGTTCTCTCTGACTGCTGCCTCTGTCATGATGGTTCTTCTTCTTGGCAGAAGAAACCGATAGACAAAGACAGATAAACAGGCACAGATAGACAGACAAAGAGAGAGAGATAAAAGCAATGATAGATTAACAGATAAATATAGAGTGAGCAATATTAGAACAGAAATAAACAATTAAACCCAGCCAGCGAACCGTTACCATTATCATTACCGCACTGATGATGCTGTTAGTGTAAATTAACGTAGTCACCGCTGGCGAGTCTCTCATGTCATCGTTTTCTTTAATACTGTACCCGATACAACCCGAGGGTGTGAACCGTAAACATGGCAGCACTTGGTCAATTTTGGTGCAATTTATACCAAAAGTTTATAATGTGGAACTTGAATCATGTTCATTAGACCTACAAAGTTTGGTGGAAATCCTCTAACCCGTTATTGAGTTATCTTGGGGACACAGACAGACAGACAGACAGACTGAAAGCAATACCTTGGCCCTCAGTTACTAGTGGAAGGGTAACCAGATACACCCAGCTCATCCCTGAATCTCTCTCACTCTCTCTCTCTCACTAATTCTATCAACTACAACTCACTCTCTCTAATTTCCCTTTTTTATGATTCTCTCTCTAAAAACTTATCTTCGGCACAGTTAGTCTCTCTTACCTGGTGTATACGCGATTAAAATCCGATAATGTTAACACGGTATTATGTTTCCTTGAAGTGTGTGTGTGTGTGTGTGTGTGTGTGTGTGTGTGTGTGTGTGTGTGCCATTGTTTGTATACATGTACTGTCTATGTACACACTGTAGTCCTGTACTGTCTATGTATGTAGCCCTGTACTGTCTATGTACACACTGTAGTCCTGTACTGTCTATGTACACACTGTAGCCCTGTATGGACACATGTTGTATCAATGGACACTTGCCTGAGAGTTGACTAATCTATTTTAATCTACATATCTATTAATACTCTGGTTCCTGGCTTTTTGAAGCATGGTGTGACAGGATGGATGGACAGATAGATAGATAGATAGATAGATAGATGATATGGATGGATGGATGGATGGATGGACAAGCGTAGATAAATGGATGGTCCTCACCCCCTCCAACCTCATCTTATTCACCTATCCCTCTTCCTTACATCCCTTTCACCATATATTCTATCCCATTTCCCCTTTTCATCCCTCTTCCTCTCCTCTTTCACCCCTTCCCCCTTCCCCCTTTCCCAATTTCTTTTTACCCTCCCTTTCCACCTTTCCTCCCCTTTTTCCACCCTTCCTCCTTCCAAACCTCCCCTCCTTTTCCCTCTTTCCACCCCTTCACCTTTCAACCACAACCCCTTCCTTTCCGTCCCTACCCCTCCCCCTCCCCCCTTCTTCTCACCTCATTCCCGAATTTCAGACGTAAGCAGAAACGCGGAAATGGACTAATTGGACACGTTGCTTCATTAACTATCTAACTACCTCATTAAAGGCTTCCGCTACTAGGCAATCAACCTCTCTCATACGATTCACTTTTTTTACTGCCAGATTCACTATTTAAATGTATAAATATATTGATGGTTTCTTTTCCTTTATCTGTTTATGTAATTATTTATATTTTCCTGGGTGTGTTGTAGCTTATTATGGAAAGGGTGAGGCGTCTACTACTACTACTACTACTACTACTACTAATACTACTACTACTACTACTACTACTACTACTACTACAGTTCGTTTTCTCCAGACTCAAGAGTTACAGCTTATTGGCTGTTGAAAATCTGTTCGATTTCGTCCTGAAGTAATGATGTATTTCTAAACGGGTTTATTCATAATCGTTGGGATGACCGTTTGGACGAGAAAGATATTTAGCTAAATTATATGAAGATACATAGATTCATTACTTCAAACAGGAGCACGTAGGAAGTTTATCAGAAATCGTCTACATATTTGTATATTAAGTGACCCATTCCCCAATTATGTAACTGTATATTTTCAGCCTTCCGGTGCCATGCTCTTTCAATAAACCGTTAATTATTATTATTACAAACATACCTACATACATACCTACATACCTACCTACATACATACATACATACATACATACATACATACATACATACCTACATACATACATACATACATACATACATACATACATACATACATACATACATACATACATCATAACATTTAACCAGCTTTTTTTTTTCTTTTGTCTCTTCAGGTGTGTCCAGGAGGGTCCTCTCTCCCCGTGGCTCCTCCCCCCTCCCGCTCCTTCCCAGGCGACCACCAGCAACACCCTCCTCCTCCCCCACGTCTCAACCCCACTTCAAGTCCCTCTCCTCCACCCTGACTCCCTCGACTATGAAGAAAGACACTTCCTTAAATATCATGAGACCTCCTCCTCCTCCTCCTCCTCCTCCTCCTCCTCCTCCTTCTTCTTCTTCTCCTTCGTCGTCTTTCCTCTTCTCCTCTTCTTCCTCCCCCCACCCATCTAGGGCTCTCTCTACACCAAGAGAGAGAGGGACCTTTTTAGAACCCCCACCAGCATCTTCTTCCTCCTCCTTCCTGAACCCTGAGGAGGAGGAGGCGTCCCTAATAAGAAATGTCTCCTCATCGTCGTCAACATCGTCAGGATCGTCTTCGTCTCCGCCACTAAAGTCATCCTCCCCGTCATCAACGTCTCCTTCACCCTCGTCGTCAAGAGGCCTATGTTGGAGGGTAGATGGGGAGTCAGAGGGGGAGGAGGAGGTCGACTCTTCCCTCACCCTCGCCCCGGACCACCTAGGGAACCTCTGGGTACTGACTTCCTCCAGGGACAGGTGAGAGAGAGAGAGAGACCGACCTTCAACGTGACCCTTGGGTTGGGTTGTATGAAGTTACGGTAGGTTAGTCTTGGCTAGATTTAGTTCGTTTACGTTGGTTTAGGTTAGGTTAGGTTAGGTTAGGTTAGGTTAGCATAGGTTAAGTTAGGATAGCATAGGTTAAGTTAGGATAGGATAAATTAGGATAGGGTAGGTTAAGTTAGGATAGGGTATGATAGGTTAAGATAGGATAGGTTAGGTTAAACTCTATCCCAGCCAACTCTCCAAAAATACGTGAGGGTAGAGAGACCACAAAGTTACGAGTCTCGGTGCAGTTCCAAACGTCATTCTGGAAGTAATTTTTGTGTCGTAACTTAAGTGAGGCAGTTAAGTGTGCTCCCGATACACAAGTTAAGGTAAAAATTGGACGTAAGAGTTGTTGAGTATCTGGGGAAATGTAGACCCCAGGGAAGAACCTTGTTGATTTTCTTAAAGGGATGTATGTATGTATGTATGTATGTATGTATGTATGTATGTATGTATGTATGTATGTATGTATGAGTAAATCCGCGATCCGCACCACACCTAATATAACTGTACAGTACATAATACACACGGGGTTGGCGAGAAATAATCGACACATGAACTTACATAAAATTGTGCCAATACCATCATACACCAGGCACAACATCTATGATGCATAATATACACCATACATAAAAAGCAGCATATGTACTGTAATACCTACTACACTACATGCATCATACACCATACTACTTTGCTGTCACTTGGAATCGACTATGACGATCATCCAGCTATGATATAACGATATGAGTTATTAAGGATGTCACCTTCGTTGGTGAGCTCTGAGGTGATTCGAGAGGCCGATACGGGACCGGCAGTGTCGTCCACAGATGTTGCACGTGTGGAGGACTACATCTAGTGCGGGAGGGGCGGCGGCAGTGTATGCGGTTGGGCTAACTCGAAAGCATTGGCACCTTCTCGTGGTGCTCCTCCAAGCGTTACTGTGTGGGAGCCGAGATACTGGAAGTGGGCAACATTAGAGAGAGTAGTACCGTTAAGGTGGCTGGATGGTGGAGGTGTGGTTGAACCAGGGGCAGGTTGAAAGAGAATCTGAGTCTTACGTACATTCACCTCAAGGTCGAAGTGTGCATACGCATCTGTGTGGGTGTTCAGGATCTCCTGGAGGTCGCTACGAGGATTAGGTCGTTTGCATGCTGAAGTTCAGTGATGGAAGCGGCCGATACCTTTTTTCTTACCTGGAGTCGTCTTATGTTGAAAAGTCCATTCATCATCCAGTACTGGATGTCCACCCCGCTGGCTAAATTGGCACTGGCACTAGTAAGGAAGAACTCAGACTGGGTGCTATTGTGTAGGACACTGTCATACCATCGTGGAGTTGCCTCACAATGACAATGAATTTTGGTAGACAGCCAAAACGACTGAGGGTCCGCCAGAGGGCTTCCCTGTCGAAGGCCTTAGTAAGGTCAATGAAGACCATGTACAAGTCACTACGCTGTTCTCTGCATTATTCCTATATCTGGCGGGCAGCAAAAATCATGTCAGTGGTGTCACGTGATGATTTAAAGCCACATTCAGATTCTGGGAGGAAGTTTTCCGCCTCAGGAAGAAGTCTGTTTAGGAGGACTCGGGCGATAATCTTGCCAGCTACGGACAGCAGCGAGATCCTGCGGTAGTTGCCACAGTCTGACTGGTCTCCTTTGCTCTTATACCACGCCATAAGTAATGGGGCCATGTACTGTTTTAGCGGAATTGAAGAATTCACGCATCATGTGTTGATCCGCAAATGTTTGCATTTCACACGCTATATTTTTCCACCATTCGTCCATTAGTTTGCGAAGTTCGCGCTGGGCGGCCGCTCTTTTCTCGTGGAAGGTACCCGGTACCGTACAGTACGCAACATACATCACACCAAGCATATATTATACATAATACTAAACATACGCTGCACATCACACAACATAAAATATATACCATACACAACCCAATGTAACCTAATCAACCCTAATCCACCCAGAGGTAGAGTTATGTTGTTTATTCACAGGTGAAATAAGCTGGGGTGGCAAAATCTTCACGTGATCAGATGTCTTTTATAGTTTTCGTGGATTTAAGAGAGAGAGAGAGAGAGAGAGAGAGAGAGAGAGAGAGATAACTAACAATATTATCATCGCCAGGTTGGAGGTGAGGCCAGGACAGGTGTGGGTTGTCAACTTCACGTCCTTCACCTGGCATGACGTGGGGGCGCGCCCTCCTCCTCCACACGCCCACGGAGGTCACATTTGGGGCACCAGAGGCGTCACGATGGCCGCCCCGGATCCTTCGACGCCTTCTGGTGGAGGTGGTGGTGTGAACAGTGCTAAAGATGTTTATGGTGGTGGCGATAGTAATACTAATAGCAGTAATAGTAATAGCAGTAGTAACAGTAGTAGTAGTAGTGAGCCGGTGGTGGTGTGCCCATGGTCTCAAGGTCTGGTGGCCGTGTACACCCTCAACACCTCCTCCACCACCACCTGGTTCCTGCCTTACGACGCCCTCACCTGGCAGAGGTTCCTGCACCACCAGGAGCTACACTTCCCCTCAGGAGTTTCAGCTGTGATCGCCAGTTGGTGTGGGAGGCTCCGTGACGCTCTCTGGCTCCTCACCTCCTCCGTCACGCCCACCACCACACCTTCAGCCCTGATGAATGGACGTGGCACCACGGTAACACTGGAGGACACACGTGGTAACACCGCAACACCGGAGGACATACATGGCAACACCGCAACACTAGAAGACACACATGGTGCCGACGCAACACGGGAGGGCACACATGGCACCGATGCAACACGGGAGGGTACACATGGCACCGATGCAACACGGGAGGGCACACATGGCACCGATGCAACACGGGAGGGTACACATGGCACCGATGCAACACGGGAGGGCACACATGGCACCGACGCAACACGGGAGGGCACACATGGCACCGACGCAACACGGGAGGGCACACATGGCACCGACGCAACACGGGAGGGCACACATGGCACCATTGCGAGACAGACGTTGTGGAAGCTTGACCACAATGGCAAGTGGTCGGCTTTGGATGTAGTGCCTGGCAAAGAGGATATCCAGTACCGCCATCGAAGCATCCTACGTAGATGGAGTGATAATCGGGGCGACCTCTTCTTCCTGCAGGAACTGGTGCCCCCCAGAGACTCAGGGACCTCGAGGACGTCGTTTACCGAGCAGGAGGAAGGGGGCCCAAGGTCAGGTCTGAGGGTGGTCAAGTTCGACACAGTATCAGGGAGGCGAACCGTGTTGCCTTTTCATCATCACCCAGCCAGAGGTGTGTGGGTGCCGGGACCATCAGGAGAACTCTACTCCATCTTCACAGACTCGCGGGGCTCCTGGGTGAACACCTTCAACTACTACACGGGATCTGTCGTCAGCAGAGACAGTTCGCCTCATCTCCCCATCCACATTGACGACAACAACCTCTTGGTTATGATCGACGGCACCGTATATAACACCATACCTGCCTGTAGCAGCCAGGTGCTCCACGACGCACACACGGAAGACTCTGTCGTGGCAGGGATAAATTTATACCATTTAATCCTCTCAGGGCAGTGTTCTCAGAGCAACACACTCACAGCTACACTACAAGACTCTATCGCTGCTCGGGCCTCTACCTCACGCCATGGCTCCCTCACTCATGACCTCCCCAACATACAAGCTATTGTTGGTGGTAACAGAGGTGGTGGAGGAGGGAATGTGTCGAGCAGCCCACTGCCTGTGGGACAGTCGCCGGGACTGTCACACCAGGCTGACCAAGGTGGCACAATCTTCGTCACGGATGGCAAACAGGTGAGCACCAGCAGCAGGGACACCCAACCTATCGCCAATAACACATGCATGATGAACGCTGATTGGTCCTCCCACTTCTCTCCGGTAGCACCTGACATTAAACTAACTATAAATGATAAATCTATCTTAAACACAACCCAACCAGATAGTTGCAATACATGAGAGGAAAGTACCGTTAACACTGACCAGACAGTACACATCATGCCTGCAAACATGTGACTTTTCCTTCCAAACAGCGAGGATATATAAAGGTCCCGGGTTATATATCAAAATCTATGTATTGTTTTTCTGTGACTGTATTTGTGTGTAACGAAATATATGATTACACGCACACACACAATAGTAAAACTACATAACCATATGGAGGGAGGGGCGGGTAATAGACAGTAACGGCGGCGTCCAGTGTCGGCACAACAACCCGGGACCAAGGGACCATAACCACTCCTCCCACTGTACCCATGAATACACCACATATTACAAAACTATAAAGTCACAGAATAAAATAATAAACTCTGTATTCACCAGCAATAAACATTATAAAATAAGCTTACAGAATCATAATTAGAAAAGATTAAGGCCATACAAATCCACGGAAAAAATACAAAATACAGTAGTTATATCGTATAGTGATTATCATGTTTATGTGGGCTTGTTTCACGATTTTACTAATTACCTGACATAAAATTTACAGTATGTATATATTTATCCATCCATCTCTCCTCCCATCTATTTATTTACCTACGTCTTAATTTCTATATTCATCCACCCACGTAACTATCCACTTATCTACTCATCTATCCACATCATCAATGTTTTACAGCCATTTTCCACGCGGCTATCAGATGGCAACTCTCCATACTGCACTACCTCTTGCAGTCTCTCTCAAGTCAGGATCCTATAGGTCGTTTCTTAACTCTCTCTCCAGTGCATTGTTTTGCTTGTCTCTGGCTCCCCTCACTTTTAGTTTCATCTCTTGGCCCTAGTTTACCTCACCCATCCAGCCCAGCCCAACCAAAACCCAATCCAACCCAACCCAACCCCAACCCAACCAACCCCAACCCAACCAACCCCACCCAGCCCAACCCAACCCAACCCCAACCCACCCCAACCCACCCCCATCCCAACCAACCCCATCCCAACCAACCCCATCCCAAACCCAACCCAACCAGACCTAGTTATTTCTTCTGTAGTGTGTGGCCAAAAATACTGCCTCTACTCCTTCAACCTGGCAGCTATTTATCTATCAATGCATCTTATATATCTATCAATCAATGAATCACTATCTATCAATCAGTCAGTCACTATCTATCAATCAATCAATCAATTAATCTACCTATCAATCAGTCTATCTATCAATCAATCTACCCATCAATCAGTATATCTACCAATCAATAATCGATCAATCAATCTATCTATCTATCTATCAATCGATCTATGACGTCAACTGTCCGACAGGGCGTGAGCAGCAGCGAGCAGCCGACAGTTCCTCACCACAGAGACAAGAATCACACCAACAATTCCATCATCTTCTTCTCCCTGTCCCTCTCCATCTTCGCTCTGGTGGGCATCATTATCTTCGTCAGGAGGTGTGTGAGGTAAGGACCGAAGGAGAGAGAGAGAGAGAGAGAGAGAGAGAGAGAGAGAGAGAGAGAGCTATTGAAGGAGGTAACGAGAGTAACTAATGTGTGTGTGTGTGTGTGTCCCTTAAGGAAAATTATATATTATGTATCCCTTGTAAATTTTCTCCTGTGGATATTGAAGCATGTGTCCTCCCCTCCCCCACTAGGTGTCCTCTCACCCACGAACTCGTTGACGGGCGTGAGGAGCGGGGCAAGCCACCTTCACCCCTACCAGTGTTATACAGCATCGTGTCGGACGACCCCGCCTACGAGACGTCCACCAACAACTCACCATGTCCGTCTTACAACGCTCTGTACGACGCCACGGTCACCACCACCGCCGCTGACACCACCCCCAGCGCCACCACCCCTAACGGCGGCACTCCGAACTACATGACCCCAAGCTCCACCACCCCGACGGGACTGTCTCCTAGTACCGCCGCACGCCACACCATCACTCCCGCCACCTTCCCCCGGGACCCCATCAGCTACGCCATTACCAACACCGCCTCCGATGCCATCACTATCGCCACTAACAACGCCTTTACCAAGTACCTCACTAACAGCGTCTCAGATCCAACAAACATTGACAGTAACAGTACCCTTAACACAAGCACCAGCACCACCCAGTTCTGACCAGCACCAACCGCTTCTGATCACCACCACCACCACCCACTTCTGAGTGTCAACCACACTACACCATTCACGACTATTTATAATCAACAAATGTTTTAAAAGAGTAAAATGAGAGCTTCGGAAAAATATAAAAATCATATAGAACAACTGTCCAGTCAGTCACCACAAAAAATAATATTCCCAATAACAGAAAACAATAAAGTTCAATTATTATGCAAGTTAATAATTTGTTCAGTGTTCACCATGAATGATAAGTTGTCTAGACGATAATGGTATTTCCTTGTGATTTAAATACTTTTTTTTTACTATGTAAGGTTTAAAACGGAATTACACATTCAAAAACAAGAATTGCAATAATTAGTTTTTCGTTCAAGATGCTTTAACTGTCATTTATGAAGAATAGTTTATAATGTATTAAGTTCTTCAATAAACAGGTTTAATATTATGGAAAATATGTATTCTGGGTTTATTTCTTAACGACAACAACTTGCAAGACTATACGTACCGTTCACCCAGTCATTGTCTACCTAACAAACTTGTGGGTAAACATGAAAAACTAATTCTCACAAAATAATTTACTCGTTCCCAGGATAATTAATAATGTGTGGACTGATGACTACGTAGGCCACCAGTTCCTCATAGTATTACCCGAATGATTTAAGGAGACTAGCCATCACAAAGCCCAGACCAACTAACTTGTGCCAATATGTGTTTTATTTCATTATAATATAAGGCAATAAACTTCCATTTCCATATTACAGACAAATGAGCCAGCGGTAGCTAAGGTTTGAATCTCCCAACAGCTGCAGACGAGGTTGTTTGGGTGAAATCAACAACTTCATAGTAGTTAACTTACTGATTACTGTAAGGCGGCGATACACTGGACACTTTTCCTCCCAACACTCCCTGGCCACCAAAACTAAGGGACGTTTGCGTCACTGGGATGTTTTCTTAGCACGTCTGCCCAACACAAGCGTCTAGACGAGGTTCGAGTTACTACAGTCGAGGCCTTGCGGGATTGTGAGGTTTATTTACAAGTGGCGGCGGCTGACTGGTCAAAGAACATCCTGAATAATAATTTAATAATACTAAAGAAGTTTTAAAGTGACGAATAAATAGAAACAACTCACCGTTTTATGCTTTATATTTTAAATTATCAGTTTCATGATTTATTTCAATTTTTACTTGAATATTCAACACAAATATAAAGCTCATTTGAGCGCTAACCCGGCCAGCAAAGCTCGCCGCCAAACCGATGTCCAATTCTCACAACAGGCGAAATCTTGCAGCTTCCTGGGCCGCCAGGCCAGCAAAAGGGGCAACATGTTGGGAGGAAAGTGCCCAGTGTGCCGCCGCCTTCAAACTACTCTGGGCGTCTTCCACCTTCTGCGACTCTAAGAAATTGGAAGCGAAGGAGCCGCTGCTGGAGGCCAAGGAAGATTCTTACGTATATAAGCGCGTTTATATCGAGTTTTATGATTAATAAATGATTTGGGATACATACAGCCGCACAAACTGTAGTTCATTACCGACTGTGCTATATTTCTTGTATCCTTTGCTTCTGTTTGCTTTATGTTTGGTACAAAACAAAAATATGAAAAGATTTCATTGGAAAGCGAATTTCATCTTTGACTTCAACCTTGAAATCATTTGCATTTTGATAGTCCAGTTATTTAACATTATCTTGGAGAATAACGTGTCTGCTTACCAATTGTGAACATATTTAGTTTCAATAAATGAGTAGCTACAAACATTTTCTATGAACCAATGGGCTATTTGTAACTATAGACGAGGGGCGTGGCGTGGAAATACTGTAAGTATAATGGACCACTGCTTGATAACTTTCCTCCTGATCAGTGGGAATTCTTTTTAACTTCTGGTTTATATTTTACTTTATTTTAAGCTGGACGAAAGTGAGCATATCCCGCCTTGACACATCTTAATACTATACTGTACGTGACGCCACAGCGAGCGGGAACGTTGCTCCACCACATACATACTGTACCCGTACATTCAGGACACTATAACTTGATATCTTGTTCTACCCTGTGCTTGTCCAGTCGTTTTCCGTGTATTAATCTATTTATCTTATTTGGTACATTACCTCATGTACAATTCAGTATTTTTTATATTTAATGTATCTTTACCATATCAACACCACATGTACTTAATATAATATATATTATGGTGACAACGAACATCATGAGTAATTTGTCTTATCTGATAACCGTGTCACGTCAACACTGCGGTGCATCAAGAAAAAAGAATTTGTCAGGGTGGCTGGTGTCTTAACATGAATCAATGTACTACCTACCTGTACTAAACACATATGTTACACAAACAACAGTAGTTCTTAAGCTTGAAGACCATTATACAAGTCTATTTACTGTCTTATATTATTTACATTAGGTTTTGTTATGTAATAAACTTGTAAGTGGTAAGTAACAGAGTGAGGTCGAAGACAAACTGTGCCGCCACACAACTTACTACAGAATGTATACCACTTGTGTTAGTAAATACCATGTATTGCTCTGTGTATGTATGGTGTATGCAGTATTAACCTACAACACGACGCGTGTTCTACCCTGTAATGTATAATATACAACATATTACTATAGATTTAAGGTCTGGTGTTGTGTAACGAGTGGAGGTGTACGGTGATGACCATATCTAAAATATTGTCCGCCAGTATGAGCTCGTCTACCCTTAACTCATCATAGGCAACATCATCTATTTACCGGGTATGAGATACGAGCAACATCAAAGGAAAATGATGGATAACAGTTGACATGTACAAGATACTTCCCCATCGTGTTACAAACATACGAGTTTTCCCATTATATCTTCTATGTAATGACATTCTTACTTACCTTCTTTATCATTCCATGGAGGGCTGTTCATTAGATATATGTTCTGTCATTATAAAAGGCCACAAAACCAGATAACACCCACTAGCGACTGGAACTGTCGGCTGACTACTTGACAGGTTCAGCTGATTCCCGCCCGAAATGCACACCAAGCTCATTTTCTTTATTTCCCTCCTTAAATTACATTAACTAAGGTTGATAAAATAGTGTATTTATTATTAACGAATAACCAAGAATTATTACAAAATATAGGTGCTATTGCCCGTCTGTTAACTATATTTTAGAGGAACTGATGTCAGACGCTTAAAAGTTTTGACTGATCACATACCGTGACGAGACACTAAACATATACCTGGCAACTATTGTATTTAGAGTTTGGTTGACGCATCACAATACGAAGATGTCTTTAAATTGTAATTCATGGACTGATAAAGCAAGTAGTAATAGATGAATTATTTATAGTGGGAGGGGGTAGGGAGAGGGATTCATAACAAAAACTGAATATACTACCGCTGTCAATTTGTTATTTCTAACTATTTTTTGCCTGTCTTTCTATAATGATGGTTCCTATACATTTCGTAAGTATACCTCACCATCCATCACTAACACGATACTGTTTTGGAATGTGTGTGTGAGGGGGGGGGGGGTGTTAAAAATTAGTGTCAAGTCAAGTCAACTTCGAACAACTGAACGAATACCAACACCAATAAAAAAAATTTGGTGAATTTCTGGAGATGTATTAATTTCAACAGTCGAAAGAGGTCATAAAAATTATATATACACGTGGCCATACTCACTAGAAGCGTCTATTTATTCTTGGCGCGCGCGCGCGCGCACACACACACACACACACACACACACCAAAAACAATAACTTGCCACCTATGAGCCCAGTAAATAATCCTTTACATCTTATGGCAATTTGTGTAAGCAATGAGCGACCTTGGTACACTATTGCACTAATGGAACATCTAAATTCTTCATAACTAACTAAAAGTTAACTAAACTCGACCATCACTGGCGATACACGATCACCACTGTACACTGGAAGACGTAACACTAACCTTGGGAGACATTCTCAAAGATTTGTACGTTATTTTCCCTCTTCGCTGCAGGTGTAAGAACACTTCTATCTGGCTGACTAAAGCGCAAAATAACATCCAACAAAGCATTAAATTTTACAGTGACTATCTTAACGAGATACATTCTCTTAACGTCAGTTAGGGGACAATTTTACGTCAAGAATCTTTGTGAATTTGTACATAAAGTAAGATATTTATACGTATTATCACCATGACTGAAAATCGAACTGACGTACTTGGAATGTAGGGAAATATTTACATAAGTATATAGTCCACACGCCACTGACTCCCGTGCTTGTGTACGAGGCAACGGGATCTGTCAAGACTTAAATGTACCATTGTACAAGGAACGCGATAACTAACGCGTCTGTACGTATTTTATTCCATATTTCTTAAGGCGGCGGCTCGAAGCTTAACTTGCCTAATGATCCTGGGTTAGTTTTGGACAGGTTAAAATTGATTGGACGGTTTGTGTTGCCTGCCATTAAATGGATTTCATGCTTCTGTTCGTGATATTTTTAACAGAACATTTTGCTAATGAGAGACTGTCAACTTCCAGGGAGACCTGCATTAACTTGTGGACGTTCTCCTGTGTTTCCTTAAACGTGCGTTCATAACGTTATGGGAATATGTGTCAATTTACATACATAATTTTACCTTTAACCTATAATATTTATAAATAGTTTAACCAGCAATAATGCGCACGAAACGGAAATGGTAGTACCCCGTGACTAATATACCGAGTAATTTTATTAATTTCTTCCCGAAATGTTATATTTTCTGTTTATGTACAAGAAGAGAAACTCCAATAAGATGTTCTTCATTACTATAGTTAGTTCCAGATCACAATATTATCAAGCTGGGGTAAAATAAGTTAAATGAGACTGGATTACCATTACCGAAAGCCATGTAGGTATATTGAAGTCTTTCAAAGCCCTTGCTATGAAAATGTGAATTCCTAAGCTAGTTTATATAAGGCAGTAGTTGGTTTTTGTGTAATACGTGATTACTGGGAATGTCACTTCATTTTCTTATTTCTCCCTTCTAAATATATTGTCTAACTCAATCCAACCCAGGATATTTAATCAGTATTTCATTGTACTATCTTGCTTAAAAAAATCACTCTGCCAGTCCAGTAATACATCTTCCCAACACTTGGCAGATAAGAACTACGTAAAACAACTTTCATTCCGTCCAAGTGCGCTACCCTGTGTTATAAACCAGAGAACCTACACCACAAACTGTACTGTAGACAAGTCATTTTTATTTATTAGTTATATTATGCGATTATACAGGACCCTGCGAACCCTGATGAAACGCTGTTCACTTTTGGCGTTCTTTGCAACCATCAACATTTAAATAGTCGATTGGTTACTGTGAATTACCATGTTGCTGCATCTAACAACCGACAACTAATGTCTACAAAATGTGAATTGCTAAGGACGCCCAAAGTAGAGCTACTTAGTTTATGGATGAGCCATTATTGTGTAATGTAAAGGGTGGTCGTGTGGCACGCCTCTACCATACATGTAGAATAATAATATCTATTGGAGATTTATTACAATCCCGGAAGGAACTTTTTTTTAGACCCGTTTGTTGTGGTGTAACTGCAGTATGACGAATACAGATTATAGACGTCTATCTATAAGTGCCATAAAGCCCGTAAAAAGGTTATAGAAACACTGCTTAAACGTTAGCCTCTGACACAATGTAAAGGGGGAAGGGGTTGTAAGAGGTTTAGTCATCATTAAACTCTCGAATAGCATGTAACATTTCCCTGTAGGCGATACAGAACCTTTGAGTGAGAAGTATGTCTCCCTGAAATTGGCACAGAACATTTGCTTAAAATATAGACACTGCAAAGTGCTCCTCTCAACCATGAACCTGTAACTACGATAGTCTTGATAAATTCACTACTTGCCTCTGGAGGGACTGAGGTAGTACACCTACAAGGTAACAATAATATGCTGAAATGTTTAAGGGATACAACTATTTCCCTCAACAAACTTCTTTTTTCCACATTTCAAATATAAGTGGAGTGAATAATGTTAATTTTCTGCACCTTGGAATTGGTAACGTGCGGGTACTAATACTTAAAATGTGACTGGTGGCAATGACACATACGAGGCCGTATCCTTACGACAGCTCTGATATTATGTTGGAAATTTCAGGGATTTTGTGTACGACTTTTGAACCCGAGATAAATACTGTATATTGGTTTTGTATCTAAAAATTCATCTACTAAGGTTATTAAACACTATATACAAGGTCTTAATTTCTACAGTAGACAAAAAACAACTTTTAAAACTTAAGTTACTGTACTCCTTTTTCTCACTGCAACCTGGGACCTTACCTTCACTCAATGTTTCTGTAGGACAGTACACACACACATTACAAATTTTCCAGAGTGAAATAAGACTATTTTTACAATAGCTGTACTAGGTGTTGTGATTATAAAATATAATTTTATAGACTACACATATCTGCACATCTTGATCATTTCTACAGCAGTCATATGATTTAAATATCCATATAAAAATAATCGAGATTAAAATCACTGGCTTAAGAGGACTGTTTTTAGGTGTGGTGGGGAGAACAAAGGCAAGGGCTGCGGTTCTAAAGTTTGTGCTGTACGATAAGTTCCCATAAGTGCAGGAGTAAGAACCTATCTAGCTGGCTCACTTAAGCCACAACACTAGATGGATTATCATAAGCTCGTTCATTTTTTTTCCTTAACTAGATCTTTGAGAATATGGGCCAAGATTCTTACAGATATATACTTCCCGGACTTAAGCTTAAAAATGTTTGTTTCTAATGATATATCAGATTTATCTCGCCTCCCTAAACCCTACATTCCACTCACCACACACTATTACGGCAACATTGTCTTATCCTTAATCAGTGTCATCACCTAATGTTGGTCAGTGTCACTCACAAGGTAAAGAAAAGAGATGCTAATGATAAATAGTTAACAAGGTTACTAGTGATACTGGTAATAAATGTTTAACAAGAGGGACAGTTCAGGAAATGTGTTCCTACACCTCCTGTGGTAGCCCGGGTCTCCAAACGGCCAACCTATCCACCAATCACGTCCGTCGTTACACAACCACTACCCATTCATACATAGTGATACTACTACCGCGACGGTGCCGTTTGGGGACACGAGTTACCACAGGGGGAACACGTTTCCACAACTGTACAAGTGATAAATGGTTAACAAGGAGCAAGTTATAAATGGTTTACAAAGGGTAATAGCGATAATTGTTTAGATTTCATTCAGCAGTAACAAATTTTCTGGTTCCTCTAGAGAAAGCAGTTTATCATCATCATCACGACCATTCCTGTGCTTGAACAACTAAGGTCTTTCAGCCCATACAATCGGTTCATACACTGATCAACAGCCAATATAAATCTGTTGTTTTACTGTATATCTGGGCAACTTAACTTTTGGAGTTAAAAAAATCTTTTGTTGCTGCAATAAGAGCCGTCAACAATAAAGTGTAGAGCACAAGGTCAATTTCTAACTAGAACTTTCAAACCTCACCAAAGTTAATACTTCGTATCTTTCTCATGTTTATATACCTAAGTGTTTAGATTGATTAGGAACTATTGTCAGCACACCTCTGATGCCGTTTATTCTGGACGTGTCTCTGCAAACTGATGTGTCATGATAATTATTAAATTGATACATTTTAACCATTGGCATTAAAAAATAAATTTTGTTCTTGTAATAACATCAAACACTATTTTGGGTCATATGAATAGTAGGTATCCCAACTTATTTAGCCTGATTAAACAATCCTAACCTAACCTCCCAGGTAGCGTTATGGAGTTTAATCAACAGGTGAAATAAGCTCGGGTTCCCAATTTTCTTGTGGTCCCACTTTTCCCTTAATGTAAGCAAAAGTTTCCTCGTCCTTACAACGAACGTGTATGTTAATTCCCCGCCAGTTTATGTATGCCGCCATCTTGGTGGAATGTAATATTTTGTCTGCCTTTTGTGTTGAGCAGTCATGTTAACCTTCTCTACTTTTATTTGTGTCTAATAAAGTAATAAACATTAAAGTATAACAGGTAAGTTTAGCATTCTTCACCTATTGAATACCTGTACAATCTAACATAACAAGAACTACACAATCTATTTGTTGACTCACCCAGCCAACCAGTATATAGTGGACGACCATCCCCCAGGCCACCCGCACCTCCCAAATTTCAACTCTTTCTTTAAAACAATGTATCCGACCCGTGGGTAGAGGGTCAAGGTCGGCCTCGTCGAACGGCAACAGTGTAGTGAACGACCATCCCCCAGGCCACCCGCACCTCCCGACTAATTTCAGCTCTTCCTTCATGTAGGTTCCAGCTCAAATAGGTTCCAGTTGGGTTCAATTAGTAGGTTTGTTCTAATAGGTTCCAATTCTAGTAGAGTTCAGTTAGTAGGCTATTTCTAATGGGTTCCAGTTCTAGTAGGGGCAGTGTTAGGAGTTCCAGTAGGGGGCTAGTTCTAATAGGCTTGAAGCAAATGAACTACTGTACAGGGTATGTGAAAAATGCTGGGAATCCGATGGATACAGTTGCCTGCAGGAGTAATGTTCCACCTTGTGGCGATTCCATACACTGAACTGTATGTGGCAACTTCACAATACTGTATTGAGGAGTTTCTAAACAATTCCTTTTTACGGCTACAGAATGAAAACTTGTGTATAGAAAAAAAGTCTATACAGCCATCTCTCCATTTACACGGTACTTACTTTCTTGAAAATGGCCAAGTAAATCGAAAACATGCAAGTCAATAATTATCCCTTAAGAAATAAAGGAAATGGCGGGGGTTAGGGGAAACGCTCCCTAAAATTGATTTTTTTTATCTATTTCCTCCAATGTTTTATATACAAAGACAATATATCTAACAGTTGAATGGAAAACTTTTCATTAACCAATAACACACATCAAAGGATTAATAAATAACACGTAACCGCAACTAACAAACATTTATTACTTTCTCAACCAAATTTTGTAATGTCTAAAGAGACTTTTCTACGAGACCAAAGGTTCTAACAAATAACTTGCTTTTTGAAGTGTTGATCCTTTTAAAGCATAAACAAAAAATTTTGGACACCATATCAGGTTTGGCCTATGAACGTGTTTAAAACCAGAGAATTAGATAAAATACAAGTGGCCAAAAACTCAGTGGCAACAGTACAATACCAGGCAAGGGAAGGATTTGAATTTAACTTCTTGGAATACTGTATACTTGAGTCCCCAGGAAGGTATGGCCTCAATGAAGCAGATATGACAGACCTCAAGAAATGGTGTTGCCTAGACCTCGAGAGGGCTTAGTCTAGACCTTGCAGAGAACATGACGGACACAGAGAACCTCGTAGTCTTTGTGGGCGTGTTCGCTGCCACCATAAGGTAAGTAACACACCTCATGACTTGGATGAACCTTCAGAGAGAGAAATGGTTAACAATTTACTGATAGATTAAAAGATTATTAAATTATTAGAGATTACAACATAACAGAAAACTGTTGTGGTCCTATTGGCCAATACTGGGCAGTCCCATTTACACCCAACCCCCATCGCTAATATATCCATCCAACCTGTTTGAAACTATCCAGCGTGTTCGAGTTAATCGTGATGTTTAGTAACTTCCACTCATCCATTACTCTACTTCCAAACCAGTGTTTACCTATCTCGCGCCTAAATCTAAATTGTCCAATTTAAAATCATTGTTACCAGTTCGCTCCTGGTTGGATAATTTAAGTCCTTGTTTAACCTCGACTTCCATTTATACACCTCTTATCATATCGCCACTCACTACGTCTCTCGCGAAGCAGTGTAAATTCAGATGCTTTAATCTGTCTATATTCAAAGCTCCTAATGCCTGGGATTAGTTTTGTCATCCTCCTCTGAATGCCTTCTTGGGATTCGATATCCATTCTATAGTACAGACCAAAACTGAACTGTATAATCCAAGTGAGGTCACAAGTGCAAAATCTAATTTTAGGATAACCTCACTAGTCTTGTAACTAACACTCCTTTGTATGAACCCAAGTACTGTACTTTGTTAGCCTTGGTTTAGCAAATCCACATTGTTGACTTGGTTTAAGATTCCTGCTTATCATTACCCCTAAATATTTCTCAGTCGGATTTCTGTATATTAAGTGGCTCATCTGGTGTGTGGTTTCTCTGTTTACATCTCCTCGACTAAGTACTTTACATTTGTCCACATTAAATTTCATCTGACATTTTTCAGACTAAGCAATTTTTTTTTAGACCTTCCTGTAGTTTTTCAATCTATAGGATAAAGTACATATCGGAGTGACCACTTCATTCCATACTAAACTATCATCAATGGATAAAATCAAGACATAAATAAGATGGTTCTGCCAGGTGTTTACATGTTGGGACAGTACAAGTGTTTGTAGCTTTATTCCTACCAACAATTTCAAGTATTAACTTATGAGAACTACTACTCACTCACTCACTACTGAAACGTAAAGATTCAATCCATTCCATTACTTTTGTATCAAATACAATTGAATTCACTTAGAAATCATCAACTAAATTAGTACTTTAATTCAATTGGTGTTGGCTACTCGCTTTTAATACATAGTGGGCAGTACCCGTACAGTATACTGTACTGTAAGTGAATTTCACAAGTTTTTACTTTTACGTTTTTCTATATACAGGAATCCTGCCTACACAGTAAATAAATTAAACATTGCTTTTAAAACTTCAACAGTACTGTATAGTACAGTATATCATTTTTACTATTTGTGAACTTACTAGCCAGTTGGGCATTCAGTCTGTTCTTTGTTATATACAGTACATCTATTCTGTTATGACTTTCATAGTCGAATACAATACATTAAGAAACTGAAGTACTCAAAGAAAATTTTGTAGGGTCAATCTAGAGACATCACCACTGCATCACCCCAATATTGTACTGTACCTAACACCTGGCAGGGAAAGATTCTCCTTCAAATGTATCCGTCATAAATGCATCTGTCAGTATATATCAGGTGCCATCAACTGAGTCAGCCATGTTAATATTATTATAGACTATCCATTCTTCTAGCCAAATAAACTTTCAATATCAATTGGAGTAGATGAAGGCAAGTATATTTTTGTTCTTGGTTCTGACCACATTGCAGTAAGCAGGCAAAGACTTAAGAGAAAATGCACAGAAACGTAATACTTTGTGCCTTCATATGACAGTGAAGAGTTGAACAGCTTCCTGTACCTTGACTCCTCTCTTCTGGATAATTTTTCCAGGATTGTAATTATAACCAATGATTAACATTACCTGATATCTGAATAGTTAAGTGTACACATCACCAGGACCTGTGATTCACTACTAGCGTGTAACAACTACATTCAATTTCCACTAAAAGAAATGAACTTGGTAACAAACTGTACCAGACGGTAGCTCACCTTGCCCACAGAGACCACACCATCGACACACACGCGACCAATGAAGAGGCTCTCTCCATCCTCCGAGACTCCACCTTGTAGGGCACCTGAGGGCACCTTACCCTTGCTGCCAGCCTCCCAAGTTAGTGTTACACTCCCAGGGTTACTCAGAACCTACCAAAATAGATTATATTAGGTCCGGTTAATGTAGATCAGGTATAAAGATTAATGACCTACTTTGCAGTACATTGCTTTAAACATTAAGTTACTTTTGATTGTTAAGTTGGGTTGAGCTACATTACATTAGGTGTGTATACTTCAACATTTTCACCTCAACACCCAAGAATAGTTTTATCAAATAAATCACAACTTTATCAATATTTCTTGAACGATTTATGACATTATATTTTTTAATTTATATAAAGGTGAACTATGTAAGTATCAACGGTTCCTTTTTAATTATACATATACACGTAAATTTAAAAACAGCTATAGGGAGTCTATTCTAAAATATAAAAAATAACTGGCCTTAAGTCTACACTATAACTTGCAATGTCTTAGTAAAGCAAAGCAAAAGTTAAAATACCATCCATTAATTTTGGTATAATTTTTGCTTACTTACAAAATACTGTATTAAGTCTTAGCTAAAACCTAACTAGATATCAAGATTTAGGGACACTATTTTACCCAAAACTTACAAAGTACTCGGATTTGGGGACAGCCTCTCCACCAAAGGGTATGTAGCAGCAGCCGTGATCCGGGACGACCATGCCCAGGATGTATCCTCCCTCGTGGTGAGCCATACCTACATACACCTCTCCATCAGGACCTTCACCCCCAGACACTGGGTGATGGGGGAAGTACCCGCCCTTGGCTGGCACCCATCGAGCTGGTCGCTTATAATGGATGGCTGAAGGAATAAGGCGTTATAGTAGTTTATCTCATGATGGGACATAGAGGGTATAAAAGGTGGTCACTTATATGACTATGCAGACTTAAAATGATATTTAGTTTAGCTTGTAAAAACTTATGATTTGCATATGGAAATAAATATTTTACTGGATTTACAAAATAAAGTTATTATGATACAGTACTCTACAGGTATACAGGTTAAATTATTGTACAGTTTTCTACAATTATTTACACACTTTGTTATACAGTATACCATAATAATAGCAAACACTACATGTACCCTATAAAGTGTTATTAAATCATATGGTTTTCCATCAGTAAATTTAAGTTCCAACATTAAACAACATTTGGTCTTAGTGGTGGTCAGGTACAGTCCAAGAAATAAGTCGCGTTACACCCCCTACCGTTACGTTCCAACCCACGATGAAGCATGTGGGTTAAAGGCACAGAGAAGCTTTGAGGTTTGAGTCGGAAAGTTTAACCTTACCAAAACTCTCTTGCCATGGCTTTCAGAACATAGGCACGGTAATTGTAACGAGACTTTCTTGGGCTGTACATAATTAGTTTATACAATTTAAAAATACAGAATCTATTTTATTTAATGTTCCACTTAATACATGAATAAAGGAGGAGAGGCTGGACGGGACTCTGGCTGATTGACGGTGTGAGTGACAAGTCTTCACACCAATAAGTTATATGGTGAGTGTCGGGGATTGATACAACATTGAAAGCTTATTAGTAAACTTAAAACACCGCAAGTGTTAGAATAATGAAGTTAGTGAAATAAGTAAGCACACAGTATAAAAATAGTTTAGCACACAGTATTCTCATTATTTTTTGTCCCACAAATTCAGGGATTCCGCTCATAAATCAAAGCATGGGACAAATTGTTGTTCTTAAATGTGAATTTTAATTAATAAAATCGTTGTAAATTGGGGTCTGCATGTAAACAATTTACCGAGAGATTGTTTTCACCAAAAAGGTTGCTACAATGAAGCACAATATCCCTGCTGTGTCAAAAAAGTAAAGTGCCATAACTTTGGACATTAACGGGAGAAAATGGTGATTATCAATTTAGTTTGAACTCCTATTTAGGAACACTCATACCAAAAAAAAAAAGTACAGTACAGTAGTGACATCAATATTTGTTGGAATTACAACTACCTTACACCAGGCAAGAATATTCAAACTTTAAATTCTACAACATCTGGGAACATTTAGTAAATACTGCACAGTACCGTTTGTGGAATGTATTCATAAAACATATGTATAATTTTCCTTTAAATATATCAGTAATTGAATGAAAATTTTTATACTAGAAAAGCAACAACCGATCTCCCTCGCATGGTATTATCACCCTCCAAGTGAGTGGCCCCAACTTCAATCTCTGGGCAGGGTGAAATTATGGGGCAACTTTCTTTACACAATTTGCCTCTACCTACCCAGCAGTAATTGGAAATCGAGAGGTTATTCAATTGGCAAATTTATGTGATTATCTTTAAACCAGATTACAGAACTTTTTAACTAAGGTTAGATGTGCTAGCAGTGTTGCCTCCTATCACGCCGATATGGAGCATCATCCCAGAGTGCTGAGAGAGTTAAAGCAATGAGCTCGCTCAGTCAGAGATCCTGCCCTGTATATGCAAGATTATTGGAATATGACCGAAAAAACTATAGGGGTTGTTAATGAAAATGATGAGATGGGTACTGTACAATATACAGAATCTCCTTAGCACTACACATGTAAGCTAGAAACTGCTTTGCCCATAATTTCAAGTAACCGATGTAATACAAAAATTAATATCGGTATTATACGCTCAGCTGTCGCCGTTATTCTCTTTTTCCGGAGGTTCGTTTCACTCAAACATACAAGACTTCCACTCGTGTTTAGTGTTCTATCACCCTCCCTCCCTCTCTTACGTCTATCGTCTAGATCATTGAGGTCTTCAGCTTCCGAGTCTGAAGAGGACATGGCTGAAGAGGACGAAGAGGAGTCGTCGTCGTCATCTGCCGGGAGACAAACACGTTACTACAAGACGTCGTGGCCCTCGAAATCTCTCTATCAGCAGCTTTGTCTTAGCCGGAATTTAACCAAATCCCTCTTATAGTGTCCAAGAAATTCAATTATTTGTTCACTTAATTCGAAATAATAGCTTTAAATTACCCAGCAACTTAAACAATATTATGACAATATTTACAGCACAATTCGTTGTTCATATTTTACTGCAAAGTCTGACCAACACCTTAGTCAGGACAACAACATCAACCTTACTACTCAACTGTTTGCATGACAAGACTGTATTTATGTGAGAACATTAAGTCATACCAGGGAAGATCCACTCTCCCTCAGCGCCCCATCCTGTCGAGTAGCCATACCAGGTGGCATGCAAGAGCGTCTCAGGGTCAGAGTACGACATGAATGCGTGCTTGTGCCCAGAGCGTCCAACCTGCCCAAGTGAGACCACAGTGTTACCTCTCACTCCAAAAACTCTTAAAGCAAACTACTTTACAGTACTGTATTATTTCATATGCATCACTGTACACATTTCTCTAGCATTAGAATATGTTTGCATGACTTTTTAGGGCTCCAAATGCATTCTCTCTCAAAAGAGAAGCAAAAAGAAACTCCAAAAATCCCCCCAAAATAAAATATACCAGACTTTTAAAAGTCTTAAGTATCAAAGAATAATGGCAGTAGACTTTCCACACACGACAACCCGACCTTGATAACTCCATGTTGAATCTTAATCCAGAAGCCGATGAACTCTTCATCGGTCACAATGTCTGGCGTCTCAATCCGGCAGACATCATCGTGCTTCTTGCGACGGATACCAGACTCTCCACCGCCCCAACACCCAATGAAGATCTCGTACATGTCCTCAGGTTCCTCCTCATCATCAGATGATAGACAGACAGCCACATCATGAGCAGCCTTCACCTGGAAGCGGATCGTCGAAGTTTTGATGCGACGGAAGGTGTACCGACGGATGTCCCCGCAATCCTCCGTGAAATGGACTGTAACACCACACACCACAAAGAAACTATTATAATCACAATAAACTAAAGTAACTCAGTGTGGTCAGGCATAACAGCCTATTGAGGCATAACTAAAGTTTTGTTATTTGGGTTGGCTTAAGTCAGGGTTGGGGTAAGTTGGGCTGCTTTAAGTTGAGCTGGGTTAAGTTAGGTTACTCGAGTTGCTTTAAGCTAGGTTTTTTTTTTTATAGGTTAGATTATGTTAACTGGGCTTCATTTGGTTTTTAGGCAAAAATATTAGAGTTGAAGAGCCGTGACTGTACAAAAACATCCATCAGCCAAAGAAAACCATTTTTTTTTTTAGATTTCTTAGGCTAACAAAATAAGTACAGTAGTATCTATTTGCCGGAATCCCTCTTAACTGAAACTCTCCGATAGCCGGAACAGAAACCCAGGAGCAGAGCTGGCTTGAGGACAACACAGTTTAAGAAGAAAACTAAAATTTGAGACGTGGATTAGGACAAATGAGCAGGTCAGGAGGATGCAAGCCAGATCCAGGAACCAAGCAAAGTCAGAGTATAGAAAGGCTGAAAAGGAGTTCCAGAGGCAGGTTGCGAACGAGGTCAAGTCAAATCTAAAGACGTTTTACCGCTACGCAAAGTCTAAATTAAAAATGCGAGGAGGCGTATCGAACCCGAGACTTTATGGTAGTTGAATAGAGTCTTTTCCTCGGTGTTCACGAGAGGTGGTGAACAGTCTTCCTGCATTTGAGGACAGACAGTTTGACACAGCACTGACCCACGCTGTGTTCTCAGAAAAAGGTACAAGAAATAAATTGTCAAGCTAAAGGTTCATAAGAGTCCCGGCCCTGACAGTGTATCCCAGAGTGCCGAGAGAGTTGTGTAGCGAGTTTGCTGAGCCCCTGTTCTGTAAATGGTTGGATGAGCCAAAGGTCCCCAGTGATTGGAAAATGGCTTACTTGATTCCTATATTCTAGAAGGGCGATCATCACTCCACGAATAATTAAAGACCACTGAGCCTGACCAGCATAGTATGTAAAGTACTTGAGAGCATTATGCGAGAAGGCCATGGTGGAACATCTACTACCAAACAACCTTTTAAAGGATTGCCAATACGGTGTTTTGCTGGGACGCTTCAGCTTAACACAAATTATTAAGGTACTGGATCTAAAGACCCAAATTCTGGAGCAGGGTTACAATATCGACAATATATACCTCGATTTTCCCAAGGCTTTCGACAGTGTATCCTTGAAAGGCACCGAGTGTGAGCTCATTCAAGGCCAGACTTGACCAACACTGGAACAGGTTCTGATATATTCAGGAGCCAGGGCGTGCCCAGTATCTGCCAATAGTGCATATCAGAGATGTGACCGACCGCCCAAGCGGCTAACGAGCTGATCAGTGGCCAATAGGATAAAAGTAAAAAAAGTATAAGTAATATCTTAATTAACCGCCCGCCCTTATGTTCAGTGCCACTGACCCCTGACCCGCCTAACAGTAACAGCATGTTGTTGCTGCGACTGAGCATCAGTAGCTGCCAGTAGGCAAAATCACAGGCCCATCCCCTGGCCATGGTCGCCCCTAGTCCTCCCACAACATTAAATATAGACATCAGTGACGAAAACTTACATTTTCCAGACATTAAATGGAGAACAGTGATGAAAACTTCCATGTTGGAGTTATCGATCTTTTGCATCACCCAGCAAGTAAATACACACCATGATATTTGAGCAGTACTTTATTTTAACCTAAACATAAGGTATACCTGTGTATAGCGTTTTCTTTACCCATTGACCTGCCATCTTACGAAAAAATTCCTACCGACAACTCGTCTATTAAGTATAAATGAGGCAGAAAGTCCGACCAGCAACCTGGGACTTACACTGTATAATGTTTGTTTTTAAGCTGTTACTACAGACCCTGGTACGGTTCTTAATGTTGTGAGGCCGGTTATACATTAGGTTGTGGTCGTTATTCCATTATGACAACAGATTTGAACCAACCATTTAGTGCCATAAAACATATCTGGCAGGTAATTTTCACACAAGCCGACAGCTCACCAAAGAATAGGAAATAAAAGATACTTGGCGATAACAAACTGCCTTATCTTTCAATTATTCTGGCAGCAGGTGACATCAGTGATAAGTGTACCCTGTGACCGGCTTAATTAGGTTAATGGCACTTCTTATTTTTCCATGATAAAACTAATCTCCATGGACCTGGCTCTTGGGCCTACTAACACCATATGGTGACTGATAAAGCTTATCTTCTGTCACTTTGTCAACCAGTTTAGATTATATTCCTCACATTTATTACACCACGTGTCTCTTCACATGACTTGTGAAACCTTTCTGTATCTCGACCATACTGAAAACCTTGATTGTTTAATATCCAATCAAATCAAACTAGGTCGTTATAATCGTTTATCACAGTACTGTACATTGTAATGGGTACTTCTTAACCTCCCCAACCTTATACTTATGATCTCTCAGACCAACCAGAGCTATTCCTTACCCATCTTAATTACTAGTGGACAGTATTTACGATAATTGAATACATGCTTAAATACATTAGTTGTTGAAGCTCAGTAATACATAACATCATACACCACCCAAGGAGTAATCACCCTAACACACAGGGCCGGATTAAGGTTAACAGGGGCCTCAGGCACAGATGAACTTGGGGCCTCCTACCCTCAAAAAAAAAAAAAAAAAAAATAATATATATATATATATATATATATATATATATATATATATATATATATATATATATATATATATATATATATATATATATATATATATATATATATATATATATATATATATATATATATATATATATATATATATATATATATATATTTCATGTAAATCCACAATGAAAACGTGGATAAGATAAATCTTGATAAAATCACACGGGAATGAAAAAAAATCCAAATTATCTTTTGTTTATATTTATGAGTTACGGCAGTTAAACCTACCCGTTCTGTCACTTCTAAACCCATAAGAAAAATAATACTGTCATAACTAGTCATAACAAAGGCTGACCTTTAGTCCTGATAAAACCAGAGAAGCCTGGGCAATATGGTGGACGTGACGGCGGAGGAATCTTATCTGAACCACTCAGACATTGTGATAACCTTCGCACATAACCTCCAGCAACGATTCAACTAAGGAATTTGGTGTTCGGCTCCTACGAAACCAGAGAGATGTACCCCCTTAATTTCTAATTGAGGAGTAGTGTATTTAATAAACGAGAATACATGCTTAAAGATCTTGGTCGTTAAAGCTAACACCTCAACTAACCCCATCCTCCATGGGAACTATACCGACAGATGCAGCCTGTGAAACACCGCCTTATCATTATCATCATTTAGAACACGAGTCACTTGAATACTATCCCCAGCTTATTTCACCGTGATATACCCTAACGTTACCTAGGTTAGGTTAGTATTGGGGTGATTAATTTTAAGGAGGGGCTGAGATTCAAAGTCACGAAGTACAAAAGGGTGCACCTGGGTAGCACCAATAGTAAGGCGGTGTATCACATGACCCAACAGGACAAAGACTGCAGTAATTGAGACCGAATGTGAAAAGGACCTGGGTGTATATGTCGACAATGAACTTAAATTCTCGGGCCATTGTGAGAAGGTGAATTACGCAACGAAACTAGGTCTAATAAGAAGGTCGTTTAGATATATGGAAGGACCGTCGCTCGTCACGATCTTCAGGGGTGAGATGCTTCTCTGTCTGGAGTATTGCCACCGTCTGGTCCCCGAGGTATGCTAGAGATTGTCAATTGATTGAAAATGTCCAAAGGATGGCCACCAGATTGGTGCCTGCTCTACGGAACCTCAGTTACCAGAGAAATTATAGCGTCTGCAACTACCTAGCTTCTACTAGGCAGGCGAGGGGCGACCTAATCATAGTGTATAAACATCTCAGGGGGCACTACTCTGTCGAATGTACATACCTGGAGCTTGTGGACGTCCGCTCCATAGGGCTCACACCTCAAGGTTAAAAAAGCCACGAGTCCAGAAAACTGTGAGAGCAAACTTTTTAGGAGTGAGTTGTGAACTCTTGGAACAATCTGCCAGAGAGTGTTGTGACGGCACAGTGTGAACTCATACAAGGCCAGACTTGACCAACACTCGCAATTTCGATAAAATGAGGAGCCAGTGCATGCCTTAGGGTTTGACTTTACCTCACTAGAAATCTGCCTCTGGAACTCTTTTTCATCCCTTCTACACTCTGACTTTGCTTGGTTCCTGGATCTGACATACATCCTCCTGTCCTGTTCGTCATGACCCGTCTCGAAATCCCGAGTTTTCTTCTTAACTTGGCCGACCGCCGTATGGTTCATATATAGCGTCGCATCGTATTCCTGGAGGCACTGGGCTTGGTCTTAGGTATATATATTCGTATCAATCAATTGGTTTACTTTACTTGCTATGATATTCAGCGTAGCATTTGCGTTCTTGTTCCTTAGTAAGTCAGGCCAGAAGTTGATAAAATTGGACGAAACTATGTGAATACAGTTATTTACGATCCATTAAATAGATAAATGAAAACGAAAATGCACAGCACCTATTAAAACTTGACACAACCAAACTAAACTAATGTAACCTACGTACCAGAATTTTTTTTTAAACATACCCAACGACACTGAATGGATTCTTGTTTCCAGTTATCTGTTTAATAGATTGTAAATAACTTTTCACAAAGTTTCGTCCATTCCATAAACTCATAGTATTCGTCAAAAAAAATGCTTAATCGACAGCCGGACAAATATCCACCTGGCCATTCAGCAGCCCATGTCACTTAAAATTGTGAAATCTACCATTTTCCTCAAATTTACTTTAACTGTAATACTCAAGAACCCTGTATTATCTGTATCGAAACAATTCTTCTAAACAATACCACAAATGAGAAAGAACTACTATACTAACCCGACATGATGAAGCTCCTAGCACAGATCGTTCACCACGCCACGAGGTCTGGTGGCAGAGTGGGCGGAGCGGGCGTCGCCAATTCCGACTGTGTTTTACCGAACGTTCTGATTGGTTATCTTCCTCGTGTTGTGACTGGCCAAGACTATATACTCAACACAGGAATGAGTGTTAGTAATACTAGCTGGAACCTCACAGCACATTGACGTCATTTTATGTAGTCAGAGTTAAGATGTCGCTGCAGTCGTCCTTATGTGACGTCACGTTGTCGTCTGCATGTTTTCAAAATCTTTTTATACAGCCAAGAAGTCATTTTATAATCAGTAAAATTGTTGATGATACCATTATATTTCAGTTTAACTTTGTTTTCGTGGATATTTTTTGGATACTTTTTATAAAATTATGGATACGTTTTGATTTTTCACACTGGCAACACTAGCCAAGACTTGTGGACGAGCAGTTTAGTTTATTTCTAATACCTTCTGTGAACACATGTGGGTCAGTGCTGTGTCGAGCCGTCTGTCTTCAAACGCAGGAAGGTTAATTGCATCCTCTCTTTTGAACACCGAGGAAAAGAAGTTGTTCAATGCCTCAGCTTTATCCTGGTCAGAATCTGCGTAACTACCATCTTCAAGCCTCAGGTCTGATACTCCTACTCGCGTTTTTAATTTCAACTTTGTATAGTGGTAAAACGCCTTTGGATTTGACTTGACCTCGCGTGCAACCAGCCTCTGGAACTCCTTTTCAGCCCTTGTACATTCTATCTTTGCTTGGTTTCTGGCTCTTGCATACATCCTCCTGTCCTGCTCATCATTTGACCCAACCCACGTGCGGTCAATCGTAACGTAAAACAACATCATGATATGTATTGCTTTTATCCTCTACGCCACTAATCGGTTCGCTAGCCGCCCGGGCGATCGGTCACGTCTGTCACGCACTGTTGGCAAGTACTGGGCGCTGCACCGGCTCCTGAATGTACCTGAACCTGCTCCAGTGTTGGTCAAGTCTTGTCTTGAAAGAGCTCACACTCGGTGCCGTCACAACACTCTCTGGTAGATTGTTCCAAGAGTTTACAACCCTCACTCCGAAATAGTTTGCCCTCACAGTTTTCTGGACCTGCGGCTTCTTCAGTCCTGAGCTGTGACCCCTTGTGGGGCGAGCGTCCGCCAGCTCCAAGTATTATTTTGTTAGCAAATATACTTTTCCCTAATAGCGGCAAGCTGAAGGGTAAATTTTAAGGGGACAGCAATGATTACATGTAATTAAGATAAATTAGAATGATTGTATCCTTTTAGTGAGTTGCGTGAAATTATTAATTCGGTATCTCAAACAGGTGATACAACATTAAGTTTATCAGAAACATTCTTAATGTGTAATTAGATTACAGAAAAAACAATGTGAACTATTTGTATTAAAAATGTTTTTTTATTTCATTTTATTCTTTACAAAATATTGATATTTTCATTTTTCATTATATGTAATTTAAAAGCTACTGTTACCAAGACGGCCTTGCGGATTAAAAGATTTCGTAGATAATGCTTGTGTGTTATAACTTGATAACTTAAAGAACAATAAAATATTGAATTAATTTTAATTGTGTAATATTATGATATGTGTTTCATATAAATTTTATATAACTCTGCCTTTTGGTAGATAAAGTAAATCTATTAATGAAGTGAGAGGTTGTTGTCGAACACAATAAGTCCGTAATGTTTGAAAGAGACGACGAACACAACATGGAGACAACTTATTGTTCACTCTGTGCAGCTCAGTCAGATCTAGCATAGATTTAAAAACTAAATATATATATTTCAATTTATTAAATGTTAGTGAGGTTAAGATAAGTTAGAGTCGTCTATCTCTAAATATTTTTTTAGTGAGGTACTGTTCATTGTATTTCTCAACATTGGTAATCTTGGTGTTGTAGTATCGTAGTAGGACGAGTGCCATAATCCTCCTCGGTATTTACTGTAAGTACGGTGAGTAATGACTGAGACAAACTCTTGAGTGGTGTGTGGAAGACCTCCTGCTGTCACTTAAGTTGGTGGACTGGTAATAGGTAGTGCAGTAGTGGTGGTATTAACGCCGCAATGACATCACTAAAATTAGACTTGGAGATGACGAGGTAAAGTAGACGTAAATAAAGTGAACTATTACGTGATCAAGGACCATACTACAGGCAAGGTTCTTATGATCTAGTTTACCTCTGTTTACCTCTATTAATTATGTAGTGGATATTTTGCCGTGACCAGCTAAGTTCCTACTAACGCTATATTACCGTGAGTGCACTCTGATTGGCTAAGTATGTTACTTTCTGTATAATATGACTGGGGGTCCACACCCTGGCTAGGTCAGGTTAGGTAGGTTGCTTTGGTTGGTTAGGTCAGGTTAGGTAGGTTTCTTTGGTTGGTTAGGTCAGGTTAGGTAGGTTTCTTTGTTTGGCTAGGTCAGGTTAGGTAGGTTTCTTTGGTTGGTTAGGTCAGGTTAGGTAGGTTTCTTTGGTTGGTTAGGTCAGGTTAGGTAGGTTTCTTTGGTTGGTTAGGTCAGGTTAGGTAGGTTTCTTTGGTTGGTTAGGTCAGGTTAGGTAGGTTTCTTTGGTTGGTTAGGTCAGGTTAGGTAGGTTTCTTTGGTTGGTTAGGTCAGGTTAGGTAGGTTTCTTTGGTTAGGTAGGTTAGGTCTTTGGTTGGTTAGGTCAGGTTAGGTAGGTTTCTTTGGTTGGTTAGGTCAGGGTTTTCTTTGGTTGGTTAGGTCAGGTTAGGTAGGTTTCTTTGGTTGGTTAGGTCAGGTTCTAGTAAATGTTGCCTCCTTTATAATGATAAGTTTCCATGCACGACAAAAATATGGTTAGGTATGTTTACCCCACAGCTGACGGTACACACTGATCGACTCGCAGTGAGATAAATGTTCACTTGGGAGAAACAGTTTTATGTTCAACCAATCATTAGTTATGATGGTATTGTTTTAACCTGAGAAATAAAATAATTTTAAGAAAAATTTGTGTGAGTAGTAAAAAAATTAAAGGGAGGCAGGGTTTAGGGGGCTTAGATTCATGCTTATGTAGTCCTTTAATAATGACATGAAAATTAAAGTGATTGTCCAAAAAATTACAAATAAATTGTTCTAAACTAAATGTGCTTCCACTTAAGATGGGAAACACCAGTAACACATCACAGTACTGTATTGTGTAATGCAGTGTAAAATTATATTCCCACTAGGTTGCTATCAATATTTGTAAGGTGGAAAATTTATAATAAATTGATTTCATCAGTTGATAACATTTATTCTATCAGTTGAGAATATTTGTTGGAGGTTTACTTTTATAATTATTAATTTATATTTCTTTTGCTACTATAACTTAATAACTTTCTTTAATATTCATGGTTGTTTCTCTTATTATTTTATTTACTTTGTAATTATTTTCTAAGTTTCTTTTCTTTAGTTATTGAAGTTCTTTTAATGTTTTCTAAGTTATTTCCTATGCCTTCCTTTCAGTGTTATTTATATAATTATTTTATATTTATTTTTTTTTCTAATTTATTGATTATTTCTTTCACTGTCATTTTTTTTTAATTATATTTTCCCTTAACTATTTAAGTATTTATTTCTTTTCTATATCTTTATTTAACCACTTAAATGTTTCTTTCTTTATTTATTAAGACTTTCTGAGTGCTTCTTGTTTGTGTAATTCCTCTTACTTACTTTTGTTCTCAGCTGTGCTCAATTATATTCTCTTTGATGGATTAACCTGGGAAAACCATATCATTCTTTAACATTGCACCTTGATATAATTATTATACTTACATAGTAGACTGCCACCACCCAGGCTTTATATAGAATTTAACTTCTATCAATCAAAAGGCTTTGGTAGTATGGTAGGCACAAGCTGAGGCACATGAGTCACATCAGGGGTGGCCAACCTTTTGTGTGGTGTGATCTACTTTTGCCACAATTACCCTGAAGTGATCTACCAGCCTAATATTCACCCTTAACACTCCTCTCCCATTGCCACATAATATGCTGATTCGTAGAGAGAGAGATGCACAAATAATATTTGTCAATAACTGTTATGATATATTGTTAACAGACAAATGGGAACGAATTTAAGCCCTAGAACCGATTACTGTATTGGCCGACTAATATTCCAGCTGAGGAGCAAGCGAAAACATGTCGAGAGGAATTCGTAAGGAATTGGTTAACCGAATTGAAGATTCTTATGGAAGGTAATTCGTTAACCGAGGGATCACTGTACAGTATTTCTACTGTTACTTTCCATCAGGTAAAATAATAGCAATTATTGTATCCAGTCTTGGTTTTTAAATAGAGTATCCACTTTTCTTACAGACGTTGGATGGATTTGGAGAGCAGGTATACGTTGGAGAATGTGCTTGACTGGAGTTACGGAGGAGTGGACCCGGCGATACCGGGAAATGGCGGACCTTCGTGTGCAAATTTCCTTTCCATGCACCGCCGCCTTTTTGAAACCTTCCTTGGGTCTGCCATACCACTTGTCTATTTCTTCTGGGGTTATTCATACATCACGTATCCTACATCATACAAGTTTGTGAGGTTAGTATTATTCTGTAGAGTTGTCTTGAGTGTATGTGGCAGAGCGTACCATTACAGGCAGTACCACCCTGTATGGTGTTATGCTAAGACTATTAAATGGGAATGTAAATGAAGCAGCTTTGTCAACATGTGTTTGCTTCAAATATTGATAAATTTTTCACCAAGTGTTCCAGTTTGTTTCAATACTTCACTCTCTCTTTTTTTTATAGAAAGGATCGAGGAGGCAAGAGAGCATTGCTAGTCTTGGTGTCAATGGTGTTTGGGATGGAGATAGGGTTCAAGTTAGCCACCAAACAGCTCATATACCTGTTGAATCCGTGCCATGTAACAACAGCAATTCAGGTACGTGACCCATCCCAACTTGACCTATAAACTTTATTAGCTTCTCAATAAACTCATTCAGTAATTTTTTTCCGGTTTATCAGGAATCTGGCTTGAGTTGACCCTGTACCTGTCCTGCCATGTTAGAAGATTCTTCTTGTCAGTCTTACCTCACAATGATGTAGGGTGAGTCAGTCTTACCTCACAATGCTGTAGGGTGAGTCAGTCTTACCTCACAATGCTGTAGGGTGAGTCAGTCTTACCTCACAATGCTGTAGGGTGAGTCAGTCTTACCTCACAATGCTGTAGGGTGAGTCAGTCTAACCTCACAATGCTGTAGGGTGAGTCAGTCCTACCTCACAATGCTGTAGGGTGAGTCAGTCTTACCTCACAATGCTGTAGGGTGAGTCAGTCTTACCTCACAAGGGCTGTAGTGTGACGAGAATCAAGAGGAAACACAGACCTGTATCTTCACTTGCCGTTATCCTTTCACTGTGGTTGTGGTATATGCTCACTGGTTTCACTCTTCTATCATTCTTGGAGGTCCATCCCCCTCATTCTAATGTTTCTTTCTTATTCTTTTATCTCTTTCTTGGACTTCTCTTCTCCTTCTAATCATTTCTCTCTGAATTATACACTCTTTTTTTTACTTATATCTCTCTTTCCATTCTCTCAGTCCAGCATTTGCCTCTGGAACTCCTTTTCAGCCCTTCTACACTCTGACTTTGCTTGATTCTTGGCTCTTGCATACATCCTCCTGTCCTGCTCTATTTGCCGTAACCCACACCTTGAATTTTTGGGTTTTCTTCTTGACTTTGTCGACCGCTGCATGGTTCATGTGTAGTGATCTCCTTGTATTCCTGGAGGCACTGAGTTTGGTCTTGGGTATATATTTCTCGATCAGATGGTTCACTTTATTGGCTCTGATATTCAGCGTAGTGTCTGCATTCTTAAACCTTAGTGAGTCAGGCCAGTGGATACCCCTCTTCTCCTCCTTCAACCTGTCTCAATTTCCATTGTAATATTTGCACCTTGGCCTGGTTTTGTCGTGAACCAAGTAACACCTAAATCTGAAGGACAACATTACATGGTGGCTGGTGCCAATGGGTCTAGATGTTCCAGCTTGGCCACCATACCCTCCTCGTTTGTTATGATGAGGTCCAGTGGCTTGGGTGTTTGCTCCCCTATGTAATGCATCGGGTCTTTAACATGTTGGAACAGAAAATTATCTCCGAGTTTCTACAAAAAGAGTAGCGGGTTATTTATGTCATTTGGCGTGGACTCATTTCTCCAGTCATTATCACCATAGTTAAAATCTTCCATGATAAGGAGGTGGCTAGGGTTGAGCTTCATTGCATTGTCTATTAAGACTCTTAAGCTCCTTTGATTTAATAAGGTACAGTTTCGGATCTGTAGATACACCAGACAATAAGTAAGTCTACACCCTTTTAATTAATTTTACACCACTTGGATTCTTCAAAAGCATCCTCTCCCTGTACCCTCTTCTGACTGGCTCTAAGGCAGTGGTTCTCCAACTTTTTTCCAGTTGTACCCCTATTTAAAGTCTGACAGTTTCGAATTACCCCAACGTAAAATTTTAATCCTTATTTTTTATTCAATAAAGTTTATTATACAAAGCACAAGTTTACAAAATTAATGTATTTACAAATTTTACTCCTTAATTCTATTGAATAAAGTTTAAACACAAAACACAAGCTTACAAATGTACTTACAAATTTTACTCCTCCAATAAAGTGTATTATACAAAACACAAGTGTACAATTCTAGTCTGTCTTATACAAAAATCAATAATAGTGCTACAGTTACAGTGCTGTTGTAGACTTAGTCTTAGTGAGATGGATGGACTTGTTTTGTCGACACCAGATTTTGGATGCGTGGGTTAGTCTTTGACAGAGCCAGCCTCATATCTGAGCTTGGAACGAGCCGGTTTCTAGTCTTGGACTTGATGTGGTACATTGCCGAGAACCCAAGTTCACACACATATAGGTCGTGGGAAATGGAAGAAGTACGTCGATAGCCCGAGTCATTAGAGTTGGGTATCCCACTGTTCCTTGCTTAAGCCAAACACGGCAAACGTAAGTGTTATAAGTGTTAAATACGAGGTTACCCCACCGTGCCAACAGAAGCATATTACCACAGCCAAAATGTAGTTTTTACCCCAGTTGGGGTAATTACCCTTAGTTTGAGAACCACTGCTTTAAGGTCTTGCCTAGCATAGATAACCAGACCCCTCTTGCAGGTTTCTTGTGAAAGGTTCATAAATAAGTCATATCCATCAATACTGGACTCGCATTCTTCTGGGTCGATTCTCCAGTTCTTGCGCAACAGTTCTACAACTCTTACTATGTCGGGTTGATGTACCTTCAGTAGTGTTTCAAACTCCTCCCTTGTCAAGGAACGTGTCATTATTTGTGTACCTCGAACACTTTGAAAGAATCACCGAGATCCCGACATTTTTGAACTCGTATGAGGCTCATTAGCGCTCCAAATGAAACGAATCCCGGTGAATGAGTAACCTAAAACTTTGAATTGCCCTAAGCAAATTACCTAAACCACACCATCACCAGTTTCCCTCACAAAATGTGTGAATGACATTCATTGGCATACACAGACCACATTTCAAACACAAAACTTGATTGAACATTGTGTAGCTTGTCTTGGCTAGTTTTGGCACTACAGCTTCTCCCTGACTTACGACGGGGTTAGGGACCCAAATCCAGGTTGTAAGTCGAAAATGCTTAAATAACACATAGAAAATCTAAAATGGGTGTCTCTTCTTCTTCTCAGCACCACAACACTCTCACTTTTAAGCTTGCCAGCCATTTTAAAGTGAATTACAAGCAAAAATTTTCTCCGTGTACTGATGTTGGGACTCGACAATGCGCAATTTGACAAAATTTTGGTACGACTGAGGCAGGTCGTAAGTGCGAGTGGTCGTAAGTCGAGTAGGTCGTAAGTCGGGGAGGAGCTGTACTTCTGAATATTCTCCATCAGCTGGTCAGTGTTTGTGATGGTGATTTATAAACCATTGATTTACTGAGTACTGTCTATGTAAATTTCAGATATACCTTCTGGCCGCACCTCCGAGCAAGTGGGTCACTACAGTGTTTCGGGTTCATCTTAACTTTCTGAATGGGGCTGTGCTTGCTATAATCTTCCCAGTAACCAACTCCAGGCTTGTAAGTACATAACACGTTCCCTCAGCTCCGTAATTAGAGTTATCCGCGTTGTCCATTCCTCCTTAAAGATAAAACATCCCATGACATAAGCTTTGGCGGTTTTATTCTCGGCCTCGTAGACGTGCAGTATGCGTACCATCACTTATTTCATTCGGCGCACCTAATTGGCATGTTTGACGATCCCCTGCATCTATGGATTCATACTGTTTGCTGTTATTCCTAATATATTTATTGAGCAAATAGACTTCAGAGTTATGTTGCAGTAAGCTCTTGTTCCCACTGAAGAACAAGACTTTACGTCTTCTCTTGTTTTGCTCCAGTTATTATAGTCTCAGGATTAACCATCATTATAAAGCATCTCTTCACCTACCCTGAGGGATGGTCGCTTTGATCAGTTTTAGATTAATACTTGCTGCTAGAATTTACTTTTTATCCAAAAAAATTTCAGTATTATTTGATGACATTTTCACAACCAGCTTGCACATGCAACAGGAAAATTAATATTGCATGTTTCCAGTGTCTGCATTCCAGAAGTTCTTAACCAGTTTCTAATTACTGATGACCTATATTTTATAGGTAAGCTAATAGCTGTTTAATGATAGAAAGAATGGCTCACTTATCATTAAGTATATTATCTTTAGTCACATTAAGATAATCTCCAAGTGCTGGTTGAGGTGAGTTTAGTGGTTGTTAGAGAGCATGGTGTTAGTCCTTAAACATTGATCAGGTATCATAAATACTATAGTGGTCAGGTATCAGAATTGATTAGGACCTCTGGAATACAGCCTGAGAAGCTGATGGCCACATTGGCTTGTGATCAGTTATTATGCTACATTGTACATACTTTCAGCTTCCGTTTGAGGTGGAGCTTTACTGGGTGCAACATATAATGATGCTTGTCACACCGTACTACCTTCTGCGGCTTGGTGGTAAGTCATATGCAGGGGATCCCAGAGTTTATCATTAGTCTCTGAATGGGTATTTTTGTACGATAAAAACACCTTTGCATTTGCCATTGTCTATGAATATTGATTTTTCACTGGTACATCATCATCATCATCATCATCATCATCATCATGCATTTTATTGTAAATTATATCTTGCAAGGAGTTTTGAAATGATCAAATTATAAGCAGTATAAGTAGGTAGGGGTAGTCTTTGATTACTTGAGGGAGTTATGACCAGCCTTGCCAGCTGTTCCCCACTTTGTGGGTTGGCATTACGAAGAGCATCCAACTGTAAAAGTTTGCTTCAACATGCCTAATGGTAACTGTCACTAGAGCTGTGCCCATCCCCTGTGGTGGCACGCTGGGTTTGTAGTGGTGAGCAGGTGGGAGAGACATCCTGTTCTGGTTTTACCCATCAGGTACCGTAATCATGGCTAACTCTTGCAAGTATGGAAAATGGCTGTAGAACATTAATGATGGTGATGATATACAAGCATTCCCTGATATATGAAAGTGTTCTGATCCTGAAAAAGTTCAGAAATAGATTTTGTATAAATTGGAACGCATTTTCCCATCGACTCCAATTACAAAAGCTGAGATTCTCTTATAAGAAAATAAAATTTCTTAGAATCCACAGAACATTTTTTTAATGGCAATTTTTGGTGTACACAATGATTATGAACATAACTAGTGAAATACATACAGTACAGTACAATTGTACCTTGTTACACCAGACTGGAAAGAGCAATATAAGTCTGGTTGTCGACAACTGTTTCTACTGTTATGATTCTTTCGTACTGTTATGTGTTAGGTGTAAGTACTGGTTACTACAGAATTTGCGGAAAAGTCATTTCATTGTGCTCACGTGCTTTATGAATAAAGAAAAAACTGAGATGGGTGGATCTGGTAGCATGGGTGAGTGGCTCCTTCTCCCTATATTATTTAGGTTCATTTAGTGCCGGGTTGATACAGCATTATCATAAAATAAACAACTTTCCCATAAAAGGCTGTGTTCAGCACACTTGCTGAGGAGTAGTAGGCCATTGGGATTACACTTTCCTAGTCCATTTCTCCCTATGGTTCCTTGCCAAATGTCAGCATCTCTGCCAACTCTGGCATTGAAGTCACCAAGGAGCACAACCTTATCTTCTCTGGGGATAGAGGTTAGCACTCTGTCAAGGTCAGCATAAAAGGCGTCCTTGATGTCATCCTCTGCATCCAGTGTTGGGGCATATGCACTGATGAAGAAGGCATGACGTGAGTGATTCAGTGGGACTCGGAGCGTCATGGGGCACTCGTTGATCCCAACAGACATTTCAATTAGCCTATGTAGGATGTGTTGGCGGATAGCAAAACCAACTCCATAAATGCCATTTTTCCCCGCAGCTGGCTTACCCTTCCAGAAGAAGGTATAGCCAGACCCCCGTTCTGTGAGTCGACCCTCGTCTGGGAGCCGCTATGTCAATGTTATACCTAGCCAGCTCTTTTGCCACAAGGGCGGTGCTTTCAGGACGCTCATTTGTGCCAGTATCCAGAAGGGTCCTGTCATTCCATGCAGCGACCATAAGAGGTTGTATGGTTTGTTTTTGTTTGGATCTGTGATTATGATTGTGTTTTCGACTGCATAAGGATGACCTTACTGGGTGCGATTGCCCAGTCAGGCTGGTTTGTTTAGGCAGGCTATGTTTAGGGCACCTTCTCTAGCCCCCTTCTCATGTGGGGTGAGCACACACACACACACACACACACACACACACACACATACACTTGGGACTCGTAACAATTCAGATTCAGTTTCAGTATTATTAGGTATTGCAAGTGCCACTACATGTTATCACCATCAGGTCTTAAAAGAAATATCCTATTTCTGGGCTGTTACCAAGAAGGTCTGTGAAAAGAGAACCAAAATTAAACAATTTAATGATAAAGATTAAAACTTACAAAAAAATACAAAAGAATAAAAAGATCACACTTTACGTTACAATAAACAATATGAAATTAGTACACATCACTTATAAACTATACAGTATATACAAATACCTATACCAAGATCACTACCGATAGAATAACCAATATCACAACCAATACCACCTTGTTACATTTCCACTTATGTGTTTGAGAGGAACCGGCTGAAACGTGCTTATAGGGAGAAACAATACACACGGTAGAGGAGGTTGAGAAAATCTATTCTCCCTATCAATACTCAACCTTCTTTTGCTCAAAGGGAATGGAGTCCCAACAATGTGCCACACAGGGAGCACCACACAGCCAGGTGTAGCTTGTGGCCAACTGGCTAACACCACCCTGCCATCTTCCCACCAACCTTTGGGAGTGGCAACAGGGATGTTTACAATAGAGGTGAACCAGGGCTGTTCATGGCTTCTACTTCGAGACTTGTACAGAGGGGGTAACAACTCCCGGGGTCGTAACAACACACACACACAGGCGCTGCTCCCGCTGCGCAGCTGCCCCCCTTGGCCAATGTCGGCCCATTCCCCAAATCCCTCTCTCCGACCCATCCTCACCACCGGGATATCTACTTAATCAAAAGTGACAATTTCGTTTCGGAAAGAAGTGGGATCAGTGATGAACAGTGTTTAAGCCAGTGAATTCAGTACTAGACAGTACCGGTGAAAGCCGCTACCCACCAGTGAGATAAGCACCCTTGGGAACTAACCACCATCTTCTGACCAGGAGGTGCTAATCAGTACACCATGGGAACAACTGAGGGCCGGCCGGCTATGCACCTGACTACTAGATAACACAACATCACCGAGCAGAGTGAGGTACTGTGACACCACCCCACACCACATGGTGTCTCCATGACCACGTGAGGTCCTTCATATCAACACGGCGTATTAGTTACGCCATACCATGGCCCAGCTGCTCAAGGCTACAGACGGAGAAAATAAACCAACGATCCGAGAATATTGGCGGGGCTTCAACATTCTTCATGCAATTGACAACATTGGCAAGGCATGGGAAGAGGTTTCAGAAAGTTGCCTGAATGGTGTGTGGGGTAAACTGTGACCTGAGTGTATCATCAGTTTTACTGAATTCACGGACTTAGTCCCAGCTGTGAATAGGGATATCCTCAGCTTAGCTAGACAGGCAGGTTTTGATGAGCTGTAATCAGGATATTGAGGACGTCCTGGCATCCCATACAGAAGAGCTCACCAACGAAGATCTGCAACAATTAACAGAACACAGACCCGTTGAAGATGACTACGACGAAGAAGAAGAAGAACCTCAACGAACGCTAACTTCAAAGAGGTTGGCAAAATCGTTGAACATGTTCCAGCAAGCAATGCAAATCCTTATAGATGACGACCCAAACAGAGAACATAGCTCAAAGGTTCAACGCAGAATTGAGGACAGTCTTGGTTACTACACCGAGATCTATAGGGAGAAGAAGATGAGTAGCACCAACAGTCAACACTGGATTCATTTTTTCGTCGCGGGACGGCAGAAGCAGCTTCTTCACGACAGCCGGCAGCCGAGGTGGAGCAAACAACAACGGAGAAGGAGCAACCAGCCGTGGAAGAACCCCAGTCAGAGCAGGAGGAGGAGGCGGCAGCCGCAGAGTCTCCTCCTCTCCCGCCCTCCTCCGTTCTCACCCTCCTCCTTCGCTCCACTACCCATCACACACTTGCTCTACCACCTCCGCCCATCGGTGAGTACCAATATGAACTTAGTACTGTAGTACTATATACAGTCTCTCCTCGACTTACTACGGCGTTGCGTCCCGATGACCAGGTCGTAAGTCGAAAAGGCGAAAATAATACATGGAAGTTCTAAAATGGGTGTCTCTTTTTCTTCTCAGCACCAGGAGAACTCTCCCTTTTATGCTTGCCAGCCATTTTAAAGGGAATTACAAACAAAAATTTTGTCAGTACACAGCGCGATCACTAACGTCGGGACTCGAAAATACATAATGTGAAAAATATTTTATACGACCACGGCCGTCGTATGACCGGGTTGTCGTTAGTCGAATATGTCGTAAGTCTAGGAGAGACTGTACTATTCTCTATAGAAATGGCAATTAATTTCTGTACAGGGTATATGTAACTTTTTTCATGGGGCAAAGGGAGGCTCAGTAACGTAACCCCCTTATTTTATCTATTTCTTATGGGGAAGATTGATCCGCTTAACGTTGTTTCGTATAATGTCGCATTTTCAGGAACGTAACCTCGACATTAAGCGAGGATGCCCTGTATTAAGTAAGATGTGTCCCCTGACCATTACACCATGAACCTCAGCGTGAGGCACAGCTCCAAGAAGTTTTGAAAACTCACTTCCCACTTCGTATCGAACTTCCTCAAGAAAGCTTCTTTTAGGTCTATCACCTCCAATAATAGAGTTCACGTGAGAGGAAATAATCTACGTTCAGACACGGTGACTGAAGTTGAAGTATTGACGTGCCTATAAGATATCTCTTCAACAATGTAGTGCTGCATTCAGAATATTAGTAAAGTATTATGGTAAGACATTGTACTTATATCCCCATTAAAGTTGAACTTGAAACAAGAATAAAAATATACAATATACATTACACGGATGATCCCGTCCACAATACATAACAGTAATGTTTATCCGACTTCCCACATGAGTGCAGGGTGGCGAAGACAGACACGTTCCCAGTCCCTCTAATTCATTCACTCTAGCTGCTGTTGAAGGTGTTTCTCTTACACAGTACAGCCCTAAGAGATCTACCACTTAATATAACTCGGTACAGTATAATGCATCAACAGTATATCTGTCGCTACAAACCACTCGGTACGTATACGTAAAAAAAAGTGAGATGTGTTTAAGTGCATTCGTCATGACTGAAAATAAGTGGATGAGTACATGGCATTTGAGACCCTGCAATTGTGTGTAAGTGAGGCAGAAAGTCAGATCATCAACCTGGGACTTGGTCACAATTTTTGTGATGCCATATGGCAGCAAGATCTACCATGGACAACATATTATGCTTCCAATAT